TGTTGCTCTTTCAGACGTCCAAATGCTAATGTATGCTCGACTGCTTGCATCTGATCGGCTTATTTGCCCTTCAGAAAATACTTTCCATCGTTGAATAAAGCACGGGACTGTTATAAAGTCAACAAGGAAACAAATAACAAAAATAATGAATGAGTGTGCACGACATACAAAGGAACCAAGCGGAGGCAACACCGCACCTTGCCCAGCTCATGAATGGACGCAACCTTACCTACGCTGTCGTCATTACGTATGCTGCCGTCCCTCGCCCACTCCCAACACATGGTCATTACAAGCTGGCCTTCTAACCTTTTAATTACTCCATTAGACGTCGCAACATCTAACATTAGCGTGAAGCAAATTGATGTAGATTGGAATAAGCGCAGGCGTTTTTGAGGGGGCACGGCTGCAGGTGTATGTGTATGCGTGGAAACCAGCGGGGGTGGGGGGGCTTGGCCGCATCCCCTCACAATGGGATCATGAATGGAGAAGACACACTGACGCACACATGCCCTTCCCTCCGCACGCGCATACCCTCCCTCACTCACTCCTTCGCGACCACTCCTTCGTGCCATTTTATCGTTCCTTCTTTCGCCCTCGGGACCGCTCCTCCGGTTCGTTTCCTCATTCGTTTCCTTGCTTTGTCTTATCGTTATGCAATTCGCTGATTCACACGACTCCTTCTCACACTTGTTCCCAACCAAACGGCGCTGAGGAAGTTGAATAGGAAAGTAAGTTCTTAGCCACAGAGGTGTACATGAACTCATATATATATATATATATATATATATATATATATATATATATATATATATATATATATATATATATATATATACATATATATATATATATATATATATATATATATATATATATATATATATACATATATATACATATATATATATATATATATATATATATATATATATATATATATATATATATATATATATATATATATATATATTTATATATATATACATATATACATATACATATATATATTATATATATATATATATATATATATATATATATATATATATATATATATATATATATATATATATATGTATGTATATCTATATATATACACACACATTAACATAAATGCATACTGACGGACATTCAAGACCGCTCACGCAAACACAACTTCATCAGATCAGTCTCCTACACCCCTTAAGCTCATTTCCAATCAAATCTGCTGCGTACTGTAGATCGTCCAAAGCTTAATGATGTTCTCATTGTGCGAACCGCCTCAAGCTAAAGAACATAGCTGCGGCAGGTAGCAGGAGCCAGTAAATTAGGTGATGCACCTAGGTCTGCGGAGCGAGACTTTTGATAATATCTGCAAAAAGACGTTGTCACGCAGCTATTTGCATTTTGGTTGCGTGGTTGATCAAAGCTGCAAAGCTACATAGGTTATTAAAATTCCTTGTTCATGTCTTTCTTCCTCTTCTCACCTTAAGTGGAGTCTTTGTTTTTTGTGTCCGTGGCAGAGACTGTCGGGCTGGGCCGGCCATGAGGGAGGGCGTCCTCTCCGCCTTGCTTAAGAGCAGGGATCAGGAACGACGATTTACGCTGGCACAGGAATTGGAAAAGAATGCCGTGGGGCCTCCAGGAGGGCTCTTGAAACATTCTTACCAAACTAAGGACGGAATGGGGAGGAATACTTATCTAATATATTAATTACTTCAACTGCCCATTTCATAGTAATCCTCTTTATTAATTTTCCTTCATTAATGAAGATTTCATAGAACGTGTGCAGCATCGTGTCAAGTATAACCGTTTCTTCCCCGGGTCCCTCGCCTTCCCCAAGCCTCACGCCGCCCGTGGGCGGGTCCGAGGTCCGTAAAAGGGCGTGGGAGGGCGAGGGAATCGAGGCCTTCCCTGAAGGCGCCGCCTGGGTGGGCGGCAGAGGTGGTTGGCCACTCGGTGTGCGGCGCGAGTGGAGGTGAGAACTCATAATTTAATAACTCCCTAAGGGTGAGCGCTGCATATTGCAAAGAAAAGTCGCAAAGGAGATAGTTTGCACATTCCCTCGACACGGCTCTCACATGAAACACAACGTTGCCAATTAGCATAATGCAGCGGGAGTAATCTTGTGGCTAGACGGACATCTTCAAAGTTTCCCGCCATAGGAATTTTGGTGGGAACCTGAGCACTGCATGAAACTTTGCAAACGTACATCGAATACCCGAACCATGGCAATTCTCAGCAACAAATAGGAAACATTAGCAGAATAAAGAAAAAATGTTCAAAGCATGCAGCGAAAAGGATTTATAGGAGTTTCTGTGAAGGGAGAGAAATCCGACATCCAGCTGTTGGAAACTATCGGAGGGAAGGGCCAGTCGTAGGCGATGACTGTTTTGGCCGCACAACCATCGCCGCTGCTTTTGACACTACGAGCAGAGAGCCACAACTCTCACAATCGATGCAAGATGAGACGACCGCAATCGTCGACATACTACTATATTGCCACAACTTCAGGATCCCCAAGTCGCTGCGCCCCGGCAATTCGTACCTGGCAGACATTCCTGCCATTGTATCTCACCGCCATCGCCACCCGCAGCCGCGTCGCAGTCTCGCCATCGCCTCGGGACATCATTTGCATGTCTGAATGGCGAAGCGGCGATCCTGGCGACCTTTCTCTGTCGACCGAAAACTCTTCTTGGTTTCTCGTTGCGCTCACTTTTGTCCCCCGAAGGATGAGTAAGAGGAAAATTAAGATGGAATGCTGCAACATGAAAACCGGAAGGCAATGCAAGAACGAAAACAAAGCGGAAAGTAAAGGGAGGGGAAGAGGAACGAGCCGAAGGAAGTAGCCAAAAGCAGTAAATTCTTCCGCCCTTCCACTTCTCCTCCGGCAGGTGGTGCCAATAGGATCCGGCTGCCAGGTTCCGGCGCTCATACAACAATATTCCTATTAAAAATTCAGCTCACCTACGCCTTTCCAGATGTATACAAAATGTAGAGTTTACTGGTTCTATTTTGACGACGCCGGTTTCAACAACTGGGTCACCAACCATCATTGCATTA